GCGCTCTGACAGCTGCTAAAGATTCGGTCTAATGAATCGATTCTCTCAGACAGTGAACTGAGTCACGCGTGTTTCTCACCAGATCTCTGAAGCTCTTGTGTGTCTCTTCAGTGTTTGTGTCGTCTTCTGTCTCCTTGTCTGTCGTGTCGCTGTCGTCTTCTGTCGCCTGTGTGTTTGTCTTCTCTTCTGTTGTCTGTGTGGTGTTCTCCTCTTCGGCTGTATTTGTGTTTTTCTCCTCTTCATCGACAGACGCTTCTCTCTGATCCGCCATGTTTGCGGCGCGTCACCCACGTGTGCTGAAGCACCGCCCACAGCCGGAAGTGACGCAAGCACGCTCTGCGCAGCGAATATTGTGGATTTGTTTGAACTCTTCGATATGAATTATATGGAAATACTTTATATAATGACACAACCCCTACAGTGAAACTAGCAGACAGCAGGGTAAATATTTAATAGTACTAAACTTATAAAATTATAATTTTGGGGAACCGTTATGTGGCTTTGGTTCAAACTAAATACATATACTTTTACTCAATTATATTTACAAAAACACCTCCACTCTCCATTACAATTTCATGTAGGCTTAAAAGTGCATGTTATCGTGATTTAATCTCTTCCTAATGACTTAGAAAGAGTGTTTTATTTGTCTTAATGTGACCAACCAGCCAAATCACATGAACTGAACAGAGCTGTACATTAAACAGCCAATCACAACTGTTTCAGTGAGACAGTGTTTCAATAGTTCATCAACACATAAATGTCAAAATAATAAATAAACCTGCATGACTTTCTTCAGTAGATCAATTCAACTGGATGGCGACCAAGTCACAAATATGACCAAATGGCATCAGAACAGCGCTTCATACAGCTCATGTAATGTACCGGGTTTCATATTAAATATGAATATAATATAAATATAATGAATATAATATAGTTAAATATGTGTATATAGCACCATTAACAACAGCAGCAGCTGACCAATGTGCTTGACAGCATCAAATAAAATCAGTATATAGAACATCTAAATAAAAAAAAGTAAATAAATCACAGCTAAAAACCAAATTATATCGACATTTAAAAAATATAACAAAATACAAGAAATAAAGCCAGACTTGCCATCCCAAATCAAACAGAGGTGGATCATCAAGGGACACTGAAAGCGATGCAGAAGCAATGCGTTCTGAGTAGAGGTGTAAAAACCTGTGAAGAAGGAGCAGATCTAACATGAACTGGTAAGTTATTCCAGAGTTTAGGGCCTACAACAGCGAAGGCACTAGTTAGTTAAACTAACGATTCTTTAGTCTAACTCTAGGAACAGTGAGCAGTCATAGTCACAGAGCAGAAACAGGATTTAACCACAGAAATCACCTGACTATCAAGTTTCAGATATTCTGAGGGAATGCCACTATAGGGGGACCAAAAGATGTTTAAATCCTTCGTACAAGCCAACAAAGTGTCGAAGGTGTTACTATCAGAGCGTTTGAGTGGCAAATAAGTCTGGGTATCCGTGCTTCCTGAAGACAGAGCGCAAAGGGAGCATATACAGAGAGAAAAGTGTTGGTGCTAGTATCGATCCCTGTGGGACCCCCATGGGAGATTAGCGGCTAGTGACATGTTGAACTGAGAGCTTCCAGTCCTTTTAATAGGAACTAAACCATCTTAAAACGGATCCCATCAAGCCGACATAGGACTCGAGTCGGGCAATGAGAATATCATGATCAATCATATCAAACGCAGCAGTAAGATCTAACAGCACTAATACAATACTATTACCCTGCTATCATTTAACACCTTTAATAAAGCCGACTCAGTACTATCAAATGTTCTGAATCCTGACTGAAATGTTTCATAGATTCAGTTAGACTTTTTCCGAGACTCTTAGAGAGAAAAGGCAGATTAGAGATAGGCCTATGATGCTGTACCCGAGCGATAGCCAATGATCAACTTGATTCCGACTACGCCACCGGGGTTAGATACCCACGGAAATAATTAAACACAGCAACACAAGTTCTATAGCTAGTGAATGAAGAACAGAGACGTGACCTTCAAGGACAACACTTTTATTAACAGTCAGTACTAACAGCTCTGAGTAAGCGATCAACTTCACATTTATAACCATCTAAAAAAAAGAGAAACTCAATTTTAAGATGTCTAGACTCCCAAGTCTAATATTAAAATTGTAACCCTCAATTCCTGTACGCAAGATCAACCAAGCCTGCGGGAAGAAAAAGACCCACAACCTCAAGAGCACACACACCTCACGTGCACTAACCAACAAATTTAAAAAGGTGTAGTGAATAATACAAATACAGTGGGGCAAAAAAGTATTTAGTCAGCCACCAATTGTGCAAGGAGTGGCTTCGTAAGAAGCATTTCAAGGTCCTGTAGTGGCCTAGCCAGTCTCCAGATCTCAACCCCATAGAAAATCTTTGGAGGGAGTTGAAAATCTGTGTTGCCCAGCGACAGCCCCAAAACATTACTGCTCTAGAGGAGATCTGCATGGAGGAATGGGCCAAAATACCAGCAACAGTGTGTGAAAACCTTGTGAAGACTTACAGAAAACGTTTGACCTCTGTCATTGCCAACAAAGGGTATATAACAAAGTATTGAGATTAAATTTTGTTATTGACCAAATACTTATTTTCCACCATAATTTGCAAATAAATTCTTTAAAAATCCTACAATGTGATTTTCTGGATTTTTTTTCTCATTTTGTCTCTCATAGTTGAGGTATACCTATGATGAAAATTACAGGCCTCTCTCATCTTTTTAAGTGGGAGAACTTGCACAATTGGTGGCTGACTAAATACTTTTTTGCCCCACTGTAACTCTACACTCTCAACTCAATACCCATGCAGTGCAGAAAAACCTCTCGCCACATGCAGTAGAGGAAAGACCCGGATGACCCCAGAGGAAAGTACTCCCACGCAGGCTGGCTCCTAGACTATAGAAAAATGGGTTAAAAACTCCCCTTTTCTCCACACATCATGTAGACCCCTATCGGTTGATACAAACAGGACACAGCTGACAAAATCAATAATAACAAATAAAAAAATAACTTCAAAACAAACATCAGCATATCACCATCAGCTTAAAACTTATATAAAAAATAAATCAAACAAAACAGCAGGGCCTAGACATCAGATGTCCATATGCATAGAACTCCACAGAGGAAGATCGCTGCCGTAATCCAAAAGTGGACTAGAAACGCTGCATAATAGAATGGAATAAAAACCCTGCGTGATACGGCTCGTTGCTATAGGCGAAACACGGCGTCCGCGACTTGCATAATATTACACACAGTCCACGCGCTCACACTCTTGCATCAGGGGGTTATCTCTCTCGCTATAGCGCTTCAGGGTCACAACACCGGAAGGAGACGGAAAGGATCAAACGTCAGGAAATTACGCAACCTGCCAACTGCACTATTTATAGGGCGAAATAAATACCTATGCCCCACCACGTACACCATCCTTATTATCCACTCGGTCACAATTAGCAGGATCCGCAGGGTCGAGATTGGGCTTCTTGAGAGATGGGACCAGTGCTTGTTTGAGATCAGCTGGTGTGGTCCCCAAACTCAGTGATTTGTTGACAACAGCCAGAAGACTGGGTCCCAATGTCTCAAAGAGTTGTTTCAAAATACGGGAAGGACTGATATCAAATGAGCAAACAGTGGGTTTTAGTTGAGCAATCATTTCTTGTAGAGCAGACAATGAGGCGGGTTCAGAAGCACTCCAAGTGGAAGCACACAGAGGAGGTTCGATAATGTCACAGTGTTATAATGGTCGGAGATTTTAATATTCACGTTGATAATACAAATGATGCATTAGGACTTGCGTTTACTGACCTTATAAACTCTTTTGGAGTCAAGCAAAACGTCACCGGGCCCACTCATCGTTTTAATCATACGCTAGATTTAATTATATCGCATGGAATTGATCTTACTGATATAGATATCGTACCTCAAAGCGATGATGTTACTGACCATTTCGGAGATATGTATTGGACCGTGGACTAACTGTAGCCCGACCGATATGGGTTTTTTGGGGGCCGATGCCGATGCCGATGCCGATAGTAGGGAGTAAAAAAAAAACAGATGCTGATATTCTTTACGTGTAGGCTATATTATAGTAAAGTATAGTCAAGTTTGGACACTTCCCATTCGTGTGTCCAAACTTTTGACTAGTACTGTATATAGAATACAGTATATAGCCTACATCAGGGGTTCTCAAACCTCTCCATGAAGTACCCCCAGCACTGCACATTTTGTATGTCTCCCTGTATCTGTACTCCAGGACAGGTTTGACAAACACTGGCCTACATAAACAGAATATATATACATAAACACATTTTTTGCAATGATAACTCAAATGTGGTGATCAAACACTTATAATGATGTGACAAACATAGGCCTATATAGTGGAGACAGGGTATTTAATCATTTACCAATAAACTTTATTATTCAAAATGAGTCTAACATTAATGCACTTAACTTAAACTTCACTTCACTTCACTTATTATAAATAACACAAATAGAACAAAATATATATAACTTGAATTAAGAAATTAAACAAGATAACTGTGTAGGGCAAGCAAGCTACTGCTAAACCAACAGGGGCAGGTTTATGCAGGAAGCTCAGCTTTTCCAAATGTAAACATCTCAAATTAATAAATAATAATTAATCTTTTTTTTCTTCACAAACTCTTTTCTGATAGAACATTCGTATTTAAATTGTCTTTTTGCAGTTTAATATTCACAGACACAAAATATATATATATATATACTGACCTGTTTTTTATTTATTCATCAAAAATAATGGAGCGCGCTCTGCTGGACAAACGAAGTAATTACACTATTCAGAAGCATTTAATCTGCGTTATATCTTCTGTAAAAAAAAAATTCATATCGGCGGCATATTCGGCTCAACGATATATCGGTCGGGCTCTAGTTTAGACACACTCTCTCTCTCTCACACACACACACACACACACACACA